ACACATACACACACAAGGACACACAGACACACACTCACAGACACACACAGACACACAGACACACACACACAGACACAGACAGACACACACACACAGACACACACACACAGACACACACACAGACACACACACAGACACACACTCACAGACACACACACAGACAAACACAGACACACACACACACAGACACACACTCACAGACACACACAGACACAACAACAACAACAACCGCCATTCGCCACTAAGTGGCGGTGACGTCACCACGATGCTTGTGCCAGGCCAAGTGCACCTTGAGGCCACGTGAAGTGTCGAAAGCCCGCTGGCAGGAGGTCACGGGGCAGACCCAGGTGCCACGGGTCGACTGACCGAGATGACCGAGATGACTGGCTGATGCACCACCTGTGCCCCCTACTGTGCCGACTTGCTGTGCTTTAGCCACCCGGCGCTCCGCTCGTTGTTGTGAGCGTCGCTCCTCCGCTGTTGTTGGAGGGCGACTCCCTCCAACTGCCCAGTAGCGTCCTTCACGAGCCTCCTCCACTGAGGCCGATCTTGACACCGCTGGTACCAGTCATCGGCAAGTCCACTCAGCTCCACGTCCTCCTGTACCACATCACTCCATCTCTTCTCCAGCCCGTGCCGCGCCCGTCTAGCCCCCTCGGGCGCGGCACGGGCTAGAGAAGAGACACACACACACAGACACACACACACAGACACACACACACAGACACACACACACAGGCACACACACACAGGCACACACAGACACACACACACAGACACACACACACAGACACACACACGGACACACACACAGACACACACACAGACACACACACACAGACACACACACACAGACACACACACACACAGACGTCTGTACCCGCTGTTCTCTGACGACACGGCCGACACATTAGCCGTCTCAGATGCAAACGCCGGAGTGTTTTATAATTTGATTATTCGCGACCTATCAATAACTTTTATTTCGTAAAGGGAGTGAGTGGGGTGGGGGGTGATCGATGCGGGTTTTAAATGTCAACGTTGGGTCGCTGCTGCTGCTGCTGCTAATGATGGGTGGTGGTGCTCTCCCCTAGGTGTGTAAAATGAAAAAAATAATTATCGCCCACTAGGGGAGACAAAGGCGGCTGGGCGTGGTGGTGGTGCTGGCCACCCAGCTTGCTACTCGCTCCTGACAGCACTTGCCCCAACAGCCTGTCACAGGCTATACGGGGGGTCTTTGTCTTTGTGTGCCACGTGACCTCTGTCTGTTTGTGACGGCCTTCATAGCGTGCTTGCTATTCGCTCCTGACAGCACTTGCCCCAACAGCCTGTCGCAGGCTATACGGGGGGTCTTTGTCTTTGTGTGCCACGTGACCTCTGTGTGTGTGTGACGGCCTTCATAGCGTGCTTGCTACTCGCTCCTGACAGCACTTGCCCCAACAGCCTGTCACAGGCTATACGGGGGGTCTTTGTCTTTGTGTGCCACGTGACCTCTGTGTGTGTGTGACGGCCTTCATAGCGTGCTTGCTATTCGTTCCTGACAGTACTTGCCCCAACAGCCTGTCGAAGGCTATACGGTGGATCTTTGTCTTTGTGTGCCACGTGACCTCTGTGTGTGTGTGTGCCGGCCTTCATAGCGTGCTTGCTATTCGCTCCTGACAGCACTTGCCCCAACAGCCTGTCGAAGGCTATACGGGGGGTCTTTGCCTCTGTGTGCCACGTGACCTACGCGTGTGTGCGTGTGTTCCACGTGACCTCTCTGTGTATGTGTGTGTGACGGCCTTCATTGGCTGCTTGCTACTCGCTCCTGACAGCACTTGCCCCAACAGCCTGTCGCAGGCTATACGGGGGATCTTTGTCTTTGTGTCTCACGTGACCTACGTGTGTGTGTGTTCCACGTGACCTCTGTGTGTGTGTGTGTGTGCCACGTGACCTCTGTGTGTGTGCGTGACGGCCTTCATAGCGTGCTTGAGACTCGCTCCTGACAGCACTTGCCCCTACAGCCCCGTCGAAGGCTATACGGGGGATCTTTGTCTTTGTGTGTCACGTGACCTACGTGTGTGTGTGTGTTCCACGTGACCTCTGTGTGTGTGTGTGCCACGTGACCTCTGTGTGTGTGTGTGACGGCCTTCATAGCGTGCTTGAGACTCGCTCCTGACAGCACTTGCCCCTACAGCCCCGTCGAAGGCTATACGGGGGATCTTTGTCTTTGTGTGTCACGTGACCTACGTGTGTGTGTGTTTTCCACGTGACCTCTATGTGTGTGTGTGTGTGACGGCCTTCATTGGCTGCTTGCTACTCGCTCCTGACAGCACTTGCCCCAACAGCCTGTCGAAGGCTACACGGGGGATCTTTGTCTTTGTGTGCCACGTGACCTACGTGTGTGTGTGTTCCACGTGACCTCTGTGTGTGTGTGTGCGTGTTCCACGTGACCTCTGTGTGTGTGTGTGTGCCACGTGACCTCTGTGTGTGTGTGTGACGGCCTTCATAGCGTGCTTGCTACTCGCTCCTGACAGCACTTGCCCCTACAGCCCCGTCAAAGGTTTTTTTTGGGGGGTTAGATCGCGTTAAAGTCGATAAATGTGTCGTCAAAACCCCCCACCACCCGACACGGCCAACTAGTAAGGTTTGGCTGCCGCCTGATGAAGCTGGTTGTAATTACTGGCGAAGCGTCGTGCTTGGATTGTAAATGTTGTGGCTTGGCTCTCCAACACATAACACGTGTGTTGTACTAGTGTACTGCACTATACACTACACTATACACTACACTATACACTGCACTATACACTACACTATACACTACTGCTGTACTAGTATACTACACTATACACTACACTACTATACACTACTATACACTACACTATACACTACACTATACACTAGTGCTGTACTAGTATACTACACTATACACTACACTATACACTACACTATACACTACACTATACACTACACACTACACTACTATACACTACACTACACACTACACTATACACTACACTATACACTACACTATACACTACACTACACACTACAATATACACTACACTATACACTACACTATACACTAGTGCTGTACTAGTATACTACACTATACACTACACTACACACTACACTATACACTACACTACACACTACACTATACACTATACTATACACTACGCTACACACTACACTATACACTACACTATACACTACACTATATACTACACTACTATACACTACACTACTATACACTACACTATACACTACACTATACACTACACACTACACTACACACTACACTACACTATACACTACACTATACACTACACTACTATACACTACACTATACACTACACTATACACTACACTATACACTACACTATACACTACTATACACTACACTATACACTACACTATAAACTACACTATACACTACACACTACACTACACACTACACTACACTATACACTACACTATACACTACACTACTATACACTACACTACACACTACACTACACATTACACTACACACTACACTATACACTACACTATACACTACACTACTATACACTACACTACACACTACACTATACACTACACTACACTATACACTACACTATACACTACACTACTATACACTACACTATACACTACACTACACATTACACTACACACTACACTACACTATACACTACACTACACACTACACTACACTATACACTACACTATACACTACACTACACATTACACTACACACTACACTATACACTACACTACTATACACTACACTACACACTACACTATACACTACACTTTACACTACACTACACTATACACTACACACTACACTATACACTACACTATACACTACACTACTATACACTACACTATACACTACACTATACACTACACTATACACTAGTGCTGTACTAGTGACGAATTGGCCACGACACAGCCCCCCAGAATTGGGGGGTGAGGGATACCCCCCCTCTTATCCTCCTCCATCACCCCCCCCCCCAATCACCACCACCTCCACCACCACCACCATCACCACCTCCACCACCACCACCATCACCACCACCTCCACCACCACCACCATCACCACCACCTCCACCACCACCACCACCTCCACCCCCCCCCCCCCCCACCACCCCCCTCCTCCCCCACCACCCCCCCACCTCCCCCCCCCACCACCCCCCACTAAGAAGACCGTCACCCGCCACTTCCAATGCCCTCTCCCCCAACCTCCCCCCCCTCCCACCCACCCCCACACCCCTCCCCCCCCACCACCCCCCCTCCCCCCCCCCCCCACCCCCCCACCACCCCCACCCCCCCCCACCACCCCCCACCACCCCCCACCACCCCCCACTAAGAAGACCGTCACCCGCCACTTTCGCTGCTCAACTCCGGCGCGCCGGTCGCCGCGAGAGCGGCTAACGACGTCGCAGCTCGGAGATAATGAGAGAGTCGATGGTGCTTGACACGTGATGGAATGCGCGTGTGATGTTGTGTGTGGGGGGAGAGAGAGGGGGGGAGAGGGGGGGAGGGGGGGCTTAGCCCCCACCCCCATCCCCCCCCCCTAGACCCCACCCCCTGACACCAATACCTCGTCTCAGTTCACCGCGATCATCATTGTCATCATCACTATCACCATGGCTACCGTTGTCATCATCACTATCACCAT